AAAAATAATTGAGATCGAAACACATACAGATAAATTCAGAGTGGATTCGAGTTAGCTTGATCCATGGCGTGATTGTCATAATTATAACATCGTATTAAAACTTTATTTGATGGAAACACATTGACCAAGCCCGGATTCTTATTTCATAAATTATTACACAGATCAAGCTGCAAGCATGGAGCATGGAGGTAAAAAAGAACAGAGGTGTGAATTCCACATTCAACACCAATCACCAAACAATTCAGAAACTTTTAGCCTTCGAAAATGAAAACAGTTAGCAGTGTGTAAGGGCTGTGTAATTTCCTGTTTGTCCAACGCTTCGTTTTCGTGTCACTGCAAAATTATTGCTACCTTTTACTTAACAGGGACTAAATGGTCTCTATAAAACGATAATCAGGATCGCAAAAAAAAGTCAACTGATTTGAAACACTTGCCGGACGTCTCTCTCTCTCTTCTGAAATCCGCCTCGGTGATCATGGGCTGGTTCGGAATCTATTTCTTTCAAAAGTGTTGCGCCAGGTTTACGTTGTCGGCGTTTCTCTTTAAACCTAGTCGTTTTTTTTATGGACGAGGACAGTTGAATGAATCTAAGGTTAAGTGTTGTCGCACCTTCGGATCGATTAGAAACGTGTGAATACATACACTATGGCTATACGTTTCACTGCAACTGCCCACAACACAACATCTAAAAACTCTCTCTCAAAAAAAATAAAATAGACAAAAAAAAAGAAAAAACGCCGACCGAAAAATGTATATTGTTTAAAAGTATGTATACTGAACGACCAGTGTTATTACGGCTCAGGGGGTATGACTTCCTCTCACATTTTGTCATTTGGTGGCGCACTTTCGGCAAGAGTCGGAAATCCGGAAACAGTCGACCGTTTCACGATAGGTGGGCTACAACACGAGAAATATCCCAAATTTACTTGGATACGAGTAATCGTTTTCAGCAAAAAAATCAATAACTATCCTTTTCAGTGGGACACAGATCTAAAATGGGAAACGTGAGGGTGGGCATTGCACAGGCACTTTAACACTTTTCCTACACAAAGTCTATAACCATTATTAGTGCATGTTAACGAGGATGCAGATGTGCATGCTGGTCACATTTTTTTATTTCATTCCTGATGCAAAGTAAAGTTGTAATATGAATAGTTCATTGCAAAGACATTGCAAATATGTGCTCAACACTTACCTACTGATTTGGTTTTGTGTCTGGCAAACTTTCTGCTGGGCAATTTTCAGTGATTCTATCATTTTATTATTGGTATCAGTAACTTGTGCATGTTCCGTGGAAACTAGAAGATGAAAGACTGTCATTTTATAGCTAACATCTGTGTCTTAAAGAACTGAACCAAGCTTGGTCACTCTGCTAAGTAGGAAGAGAATATGGAAGCTCAGAAAAATGACTGAGCAGCTTCTGGAACCATATAATATGACCATATCTGAAGCAGTTCTCAATACTCAATTTTAATTTCTCTTATCATAAAGTTTTGAGAATGAGACAGTTGTTGTTTTATTTTCTATATTATACAAAATAGTTAGTAGAGATTAGTTTCATTTATGGTCTGCTTTTTTTCACATTTTTTTTATCAAAAACTAGAAGCAATGTCATGTTTTTCACAGAAAATGTGACCAAATTTACCCCATTTCGAGCAAGAAAAGATCTGGTGCTCAAAGATTTGAAATGCACAGACCTATTAAGTATTGAAGTACTGGGTAAACAGTACATAGTCAATAAGTTTGAATGCATTCAATTATACTGTTATAATATAAACAATTAATTATAACTATTATCTGACAATCAAATGTACAAGTAAGTAATATGAATGTTAATGTATTGGCAGTGAATTTTGTTTTTCTTGGAGTTAGTGTCACTTGATCATGAGCCCTATGCACAAATGTGTATCAAGATAGCTTCTTATAATTAATTTAAAGATCTGATTACATACCTTGGTCACATTTGTTTTCCAAACTTCTTCTTTTACTTCTAACCTCATTCAACATTTTTTCATTGTAAGCCTTGGCTGTTGATAAAGAAGAACAATGTGCAGTACAGTATATCATATGAGCAACTATGATAGTGAACAGTTCTGGTAAATATTTGTTATTTAATTTATTGAGATTGTTAAACATTGAATTTATGAACACAAAGTTAAAGGGCACCCTCTATTGTTGATAGTCAATAAGAAAATAAGAGAATCAAAGAAAATATTAAAAATAGACAAAAAAATAATAATAATAATTTGAACAAAAAATAACATGAAAATTATAGAATTCCCCATTCAAAAGTAAAAAAAAAAATATTTCCTAAAATGGGATTTAAATTTGCAATCTTCCACTTGCAAAACAAAGGCCCTAACCACTACATTATGAAGTTGCCCAATAGACACTACACTATAAAAAAAAAAAACCTTAGGAATAACCAAAAATACAATTTTTGAAAGATCAACTGTGAAATCTATACAGGTCAACTATGTCTACAGATTAACCATATATATAAGTTTGATAGCAATCAGCTGACTATTATTGGAGTTATCATGTATACAAGAAAGTTTACAACAATGCCGGACAGACATTTTGCCACTACTGACTTTTCCTTCACTTCGTTACGAGCAAGGCAAAAACACAAAGAAAGAAAACCTGAGTACTTACTTTGCTGCAATTCTTTGATACTGCCAAATATGATTTCTAACTGGAAGGCAGGAAACATGATCTCTGATTGTGTGACACTATAGTTCTGTATGCAAATTATAAATTACTGTAATTTTTTTATGTGGTATGGAGGTGGTGGTTGGGTGGTGTTGATGGCAAACATGTACATGATCTTCTTTAGATTTGATCACAGTCCGGACTGTGATTTGATACTCCCAGCAGAGGGATGGTGAAGGGGGTTATGGAGCTCCATTGATGTTGCACTATAGACCCATCACAGTGGTTGTGCCATTGCCATATTTCGAAGACCATATATATCACTCCCATTGTCAAAGTATTTACCTGTCATTTGATCATTTTTGTAATTAAAAATAACAATTCTGGGTAACATTTTGTGTTGTCTTAAAAATATTATAAATTCAAGACAAACTACCCCCCCTCCCAGTA